GACCTCTCTGCAATCATAGGATCATTTTCAAATCTATCTACCACCCACTCAGGTAATTTTATAAAAATTTATAATTACAGAGTAACTAATATAAAATGAAATGTTCTTGCTTTGATGTGGTTTACATTAAATAATGTGTCTAGAAACACTGATAGACTTACTCACAAGCACACAAAAGATACTCTCCCCACACCTCAGTGAGTGGTATAGCCATTACAAATCCCTTGGAGTTATTTACAGAACATATCACGCTGGGCAACATGCAGAGAGGTAAATGTAGGAGGCTTGAAAGAAGACTAAAATGCTTCTCACCAAAAATAGCCTCTTGTATTTTAGAAACTGAATTATATTAGGACACTAAATTCGACAATTGATCAGAATGATCATTTAAGCTAAAATTGATATCAGGCTCATCAGGTTCATGTTTATAAACTGGAGTAAATGCTCTGCCATAAGTCTTAGAATGGCTAAGGGTCATCATAATATTATGTTATTAAGTAATTAATGATATATTCACAGAATCTGTGTTTAAAAGAGTGGAAGAATAAAATTGTGGTTGGCCACACAACTTTTGGCATCAGGTACATGGAATTGTATCTCAGATGTACTACTGACTAGCTGTGTGGTCTTGAGGAAGTTATTTTCCTCCTTTGGATCTTAATTCCCTCATCTATAAAATGAAAGCTTATGGGCTCTTAGGAACAGTAAAGCATGGAACAGCAGAGGAAGAATTGGGAAGGTTCTGGGACTGTTGAAGAAGAGTTGTTAAAGAGGAGATGTAGGCAACTCATCCTACACAAGGAAAATATATTGAGATCAATATGAACAACAACAACAACAGCAACAACAACAAGTAACACACTTAAAATAGTCACATGACAACTGACCTTAAAACCTCAACCTGACCTTGGCACCAAATCCAAGTCTTGTAGCCAGAGGGTGGAAAATGCTACCACACCAGAGAACTATATTAAGAATATCAAACATGGTTAGAATACATATATCAAACAAGCCCCCCACACACTTAATGAATTTTAGACATTCTTTTCCACTTCCATGTGTGAACTATGGAATGAATGACTGTGTGGTGGTAACTATTAAAATGTAAAATTTTAGTTCCTCACTAAGGGAGGAGACAAATAAATATTTAATGCACATGCAAAGAATATTTTGCCTTTAGGATGATGGCTGATCCTGTATGCAGCTCTTCAAATTGTTTTTGTCGTAGCAGCCAAGGGATGAAGGTGAGGTTTGCCTACAAGACAAGAGGTAGATGCTCTGTTATGTGGCTGAGATTCCTTGAAATGGATACCAACGGCGCTAAGAAACAACTGGTTGGAGTGTTCTAATATCAGTAACTCATTTTTGACTAAACACAAGGTATCACAGCTATTATCACCGGTAGAGTATGTGCCTAGCATATCCAATGCCTTATATTCAACAACCACAATCTCCAAGGCTATGCTAATGAATGGTGACTGTCTAATGTAACATATCTAACTTTGTCGGGATGTAGTTGGTACAAGATATAACAGCTATTATTTCAAGTTAGTTGACACTGGCCTAAGGACGTAGCTCAGTAGTACAGCACTTTCTCACCATTCCACGCACACTAAAAACTACATTTTAAAATTAAATGAGATGTCAGCAAACACTTTGCCTTAGAGTTTTACTGCTGTGAGCAGACACCATGACCAAGGCAACTCTTATAAGGTCAACATTTAATTGGGGCTGGATTACAGGTTCAGAGGTTCAGTCCATTATCATCAAGGTGGGAACCTACTCTAACAGGGCCACACCTTCTAATAGTGCCACTCCCTGGGCTGAGCATATCCAAGTCATGACACACTTAAAGTTTACTTGAGCACTTCAGAAACATTGCTATAATATAACAGAGACTTGCCAGGCAGGTAAAGTAACAAACAATTTAATAAACCCTTCTCCTATTAAGCTGAAGACCAGAGTTCTTAAATGGAAAAAGGATAAGAGTGTAAAGAGGTAGGGAGACAGGCAGAAAGGAGGAAAGAAAAGGAAGGTGACAGAGACACAGTGAAAGCAAGTTCAAACCTGGTTATCTTGGTGTGTTGGGTTTTGCCCGCTTGATACAAGTTAGGGTCATTTAGGAAAAGGGACCCTCAGTCGAGAAATTACTTCCATCAGATTGCCATGTAGGCAAGCCTATTGAGTTTTTTTTTAATTAATTAATGTGGGATGGCCCCAGATCATTATGGGTGGTGCTGCCCCTATGTATATGGTCCTGGGTTATATAAGAAAGCAGGTTAAATTATCTTTCAAACAAGTAAGCAGTATTTGTCCATGGCCTCTGGCTTCCAGGTTCTCTGCATTGAGTTCCTGCCCTGGTTTTTTTTACCCTGACTTCCCTAGATGACAGATTACAATTGTAAGCAAAAATAAACTCTTACCGTATTGCTTTTGGTCATAGTACTTAACACAGCAATAGACACCTAAGATAGGCAGTTACACTCGGATTTACATTTTAAAAACATCAAAAGTAGCTTCTGGGAAGAACTCACTGCTGTGTGCCTGGTGCTATGTTCAGTGGAAATAATATAACACACTGGCTATGAGCTCAGTTTGAGGTTTGCCTTTTTCTAGTTCTGTGACCTCAAACAACTTACTTATCCTGACTTATCCTCAGCTATTTTCACTCTTCTGTATAAGAGAAATTAACATATAGAAATATATACTGCAGAGGCCTTTATAAAAGATTGAATCTTATAATAAATCTCAGAATGTTACTCACTCTTGGTGACTATCATTCTTATCAAGGTGCTTAAATACCCCAATTCATCACTTTAAATGTGTATTACCTTGAAGCAGGACAGAAAATTCAGGAAATTGAGGGGATAGAAGAAAAAAAAAGGAGTCCTTATCTCAGGAACCCACCTGAAGCCTCTTGTCAGCAAGCAAACAAGAATTCTAGCACAATTAACAACTATTTAAGGACATTCGCGCTTCACAAAGATCAATCCACAATTTTCTAGAAATCTCACTAGAAACTGCAGGTACAGGGAAATGGCTTGTACAATGCCAACCTAGTGGCTTCTGGATTTACCTTTTCAGATTATACCTGGGTCCAATGCATGTCCAAAAACACCCTGTAATCTCAGATTATATTTCAGATTATAATATCAAAAGAAGAGAAAGCTATCTTTTGAGATACAACCAATATGTTGTGTGTGTGTGTGTGTGTATGTGTGTGTGTACACGCACACACGTGTGTCTTGGGACTATGATTTTGAAAGAAAACAAAAGACCAAGGGAGAATGCTTGTGTGAGGTTAGAGAGCAAAAGGGAGTGGGGTAAATGATGTAATCAAAGAATAATTTCAAAAATAGAATATAAAAAATGAAAATATCTTAAAAGAAAGAAGAGACGCCATAGAAAGGGAATTACTCTTTTAAAATGGTATATGTGCTTAATGTCAAGACAATTAATTGCAATTCTCTTTTGAGGATCCCAGACCCACTCATGGGTACCTCAATTTCTGCAACTCCCCCATAAAAGACCACACTCCTATATTTGGGTATGTCCTTCTGTACCTCTTTTAGAGAAGTCCCTATTTATGTCGAGGTCATATCCTAGTTTCTCCTTAAGGGCCTCTTTTCAATCTCTTAACCCTCATCCTACATCAGAATAACTTTGCTAGACCCCAAATTTGCTTCATAAACTGTCTCATCATGAATTTTTTCTCTACAACAAAGCCACAAATCCAAGTTTGGCCTAGTTGAGATCACTAAAGTTAGGGGCAAGTCTCTGGGCTGCTGAAAATAAAGGTTTGGGTGTGTCTGTTTCCTCACTACTGCCAATGTGATGTGTCATGGGAAAAGAAGCTAGGAAATGCAATGGTTGCTGGTGCTATTGAAGGACTATCTGGAATTCCATCCCCCTACACTAGCTAAGATCTCCATGCTTAGCTTTTTCATATAGCCTCTTACAAACTGCATAGTTATTTATCCTTTCCATTCACATTGGTGACACACAATAGATTTTTACCTTTTGCTGATGGAGCAAGTGAAACCAAGGAAAATGAAATAGTTGGTCTTGGATCCTAAGATGAACTCTAATCATCATAATTTCCCCAAAGCCTAGTCTTGAGTTTAGCCAAACAAACTATGGTTACCATGGGTTTAGCAGTGATTCAACACTAAAGATATTTGGAACTGGTTTCAAACAACCCTAGTATACATTTTATTTTTGTTTTGCACAGAAGAATGGGCTGAAAAGGGGACTGGAGAGTGGAAGACAGTGAAATAAAGTAAGTAGGAAGTTCTGTGTTTAAAAGTAAAGCTTATTTGATTCATGAACTTAATGTTAGAATTTTCTGTGAACAGAGAACCAAGAACATGAGATCAATTTTAGAGAAAATAATGGACACATCGTATATTACAACTGTGCATTGTAATAGCATATACAATGTGGTTACAAAGGACCTAAAAGAATCTTTAATGAACATGAGAAAATCTGAGAGTGGGAGAGGAAGACTGCTGAGTGAGGGGCAGGAGAGCTAGTCATGGTGGCAACTCTCTACAATTCCAGCATCCAGGAGGCCGAGGCAGGACAGCCATGAGATACCCTGATTAGCATAATGAGTTCCTGTCTCATACAAGCAGACAAAACCCTTAAAGATAAAAAAGAAAAAGAAAAGAACGTTGAAAATAACTCCATTGACTTGCCTCACAAATAAGACCTGAGCTCAGTGCTCAGTTCCCAAGTTAAAATGTTTGGTCTTGGTGGTAAGTACTTGTAATCTTAGTGCTGGGGAGGAAGGAAAACATGGCTCCAACGGAACTGGCCAGCCAATCTCATCCAATGTGCCATCATCATGATGGGGGAGCATCATGTCCCAAAACAAATAAGGCAGGCAGCATCTGAGGGAGAATGACTCAAAGCTGTCCTCCGGGTCCTACATATACATGTGTATAGAATCATTATGAGAAAATAACACTAGAGTTCTTAAAGTTTAAAATAATAAGTGATCTCCCTGGAAATGGATGAAGAATCACCTCGGTGGTGGTAATTTTTTTTATCAGTCAGAGGCAGAGCAGTTGACAGTCCTTTGTTCATCTTAGCCTGAAGCCTGACTTGGTGGCCAAAGCTGTTTTGTACCTAGGACACATAAAAATAAAATCAAATTCAGGCAGTGCAACAAGGGAGGAGGAAGACATATATAGACTTGTGGCCTGCCATACTACCCACAGACCTGACCTCCAGCACAGAGCACAGAGGGCCATGGAGAGCAGCAGAGACTGAAAATGTCACCCAAGGTTCTGCCAAATGTGAGGTCAGCCTGCAGCAGCAGCCACCACAAGAAGCACATGTTGGGTGGACAGATGAGAGTAAAAGAGAAGAATGGGGCAGCTTGAACATTGTGAAGAGAGATAGAACTGGAGACTTGAGGGTGGAGAGGAGTAGCCTGCTTTGAGTGGCTAGCCCTGCTACCTGGGGCTAATAGTGAGTTCCCAGCCCAAGCTACAAAAGGCCATATCTAGGTCTGTGCCTATGCGGTGCCAGGGGTTAGTGTCAATGTCCCTGGCTCATATTACCACCATGGAATATTCAGGGCAGCTGCAGGGACCCCATAGATGTTCAGGGGCTCTGGAGGCATGGGTGCTGGTGAGCTGGCCCCAAAGTCATGAAAGCAGGAGAGCTAACACTCCCTCCTGCTAATGGCAGCATTGCATGGCCTACGGATCAGGGTGCACTTGAGAGTCTGGGGAGATGATCAGGACCAGGGTATGTAATGCGAGACTCACAAAAAAAAATCAATAAAAAGTTAAAAAAAATGATATGTATACTAGGTATTACTGAAACTTATTTCAGGTCAACATTACTGGCAGTGTATTTATTTTGGAAGAAACTCAAAATATAGCCTTAAATACCATTTTCCTTCACTCACAAACATGACAGAAGGAGACAGACCATCTTCCTGTGGACTTAGAAAAATGAATATCTAAATTTGTATGGAACCTATCAAGGTCCATGTGCCCTAATGCCCTTTAGAGTATACTTATAGAATAAATCAATGGATTATATGTTTTGGTAATAGAATATTGACTATCCTCATAACTCATAACAGTTTAATAAATGTGTTAGTCAGACAATGATTCCCCCAAAGATGTAACCTCCCAAGTCTGAGGAAATAAGACATTATAGGTTCTTTACAGGTGTGATAAAATGAAAGATCCTGAAATTTGGATATTGTCCTGGATTATCAGATTGGTCCCTCTGTCATCAGGGAGTCCTTTTAAGGATGTGAGAGATAAGTAGGTTAAAAAGAAACGTAAAAATAATGTACCACTAAGTTTGACAAAGTAAAGCAATGTGCACAAGGAAAGGAATGCAGGTGACCTCCAAGTACTGGGGAAAGTGAAGAAATGGTTGCCCTCCCGCCTAGAACCTCTATGCCCAACCCTACCAAAACCTCAATATCAGTGAGATCCTTGCTAAATTTCTGATCTGAAGAATTGTAAGGTAACAAACTTGTGTTTGCAAAGCACTACATCAGTGATGACTTATTGCATAAGAATAGAGAAATTAACAATAATCCTGAGTCTATTTTCTGAGTAGTTCATATTCCTTATAGAAAAATAAACATTATTAAAGGAAGTCATTTAGTAATGTAAGAATAAAACTGATTTCTCTGAATGTGACAGATAAATCTCTGAGTCTACTTCCAGTTGTTACACAAAATAAAACACTAGAAACTTGAAAGGGAGAAATGAAACAAAAATAAAAACAGAAACAGAAACAAAACAAAACAACAACAACAAAAGTTCTTCTTAGAAACAGGACCACTCTAAGAATAAAAGAGAGAGGTAAGGTCTATAAACCACTTCCCTCTTTTTTTTGGAGACAATAGCTCACCATGCAGCCATGCTATCCTGAAATTCATGACTCTGGTCTTCACACCTGAGTATGCACTGCCATCTTTATTCCCACCCTCAAATTTTTGAGGGCACACTTGAAATTTCAATTGATTAGAGTGTAAACATATTTTGAATGCCTAGACTATGGAACAGAGACCCAGGAAGTATGGCAGCTTACCTACCCATAAGACTGACTACAAGGAGGACCTTCAGTGTTGGACCTCCATTGTGTTAAAAAATGAGCTTGAATTAATCTAAAGTTTAATTAATCTGTTTAGTACCCTCCAAAAAAAATCAATCCTTTTTCAATGTGAAAAAAAAGAATAGACTCAATAACATGATCTTTTCAATGCTGAGCAGCTAATAAAAACATTGTTTTATAGAAGCCAGGACATCTTACCAAGAGAGAAATGAATGAACAGAAGCATGTAGAATTGATCACATACACTTATCCCAAATTTGACTGCAAGTTTAAAGAAAAGCGTATGCCTGAAACTAAAGCGTAGAGATTGTTATGAATCAAACTGAAGTCACACAGATCACATTGATGTTGGTTATTTCATTGGAGAGGAATAACAGAAGATTAGATTTTTACAGAAGAAAAAATAAGAAACTTAGAGATCACAAGGGAAGAAGGAAAAACTAATGAAAGGCTGAATATTGGGTTCAAGAATGAATGACAGAAAACAGGTCTTGGGGAAAGAATAAAATATCTACTGGCTATGTTCAAGTTGTTAGAGTTATGTTTAAATTGTTGTGTGTTTTGATGAAAATTTAACACCTATTCTACAAACCTTAATGTGTAATTCTTTGAAGAAATTGTAAAACATGTTGAATTCTACAGTAAGCTTGACAAAAGAAAGTCAGAGTCACACACTAAAGCACTAGGTATTAAATTCTAAGAAAGGGCTTTCTGATTCTTTGGTTCTCAAACAGAGATGACACCGTAAAAAAGCATTATTCATGACTATGAGTATGCTCCTCATATGCATTAGAAATATATTTAATTTTCTTCCCAGAGCCACACCAAAAGCACACGAACATTGTACATTGTACCCTAACAGTAGAGCAGAACAAAGACACGGAGGTTAATAAGATGGATACATGTTTTACAATTCATAAACTATTCACATGTTCAATATACAAACTCTTGCAAGGTACATTGGAAATAAGGGTCAAATTTCTGAAGTTTACTCAAAATGGTTATGTTTTTATTTTAAAGTTGCATGCAACAACAAAAAAAATCAATATATTTTTCTTTATTCTGAATAGATAAAATTGGGAGGACCATAGCGTGTGTCTCTCCAAGGCTTATCAATGGAGCTATCTTTTCAGATTTCATATTATGGTAGTAGTAAAATCTGGTGGTAATTGCTTGTGATGGTTATCTTTAATTGGTAAATATGAAATCAGCTGGAAAGGGTGTATCCATGAGGGTTTTTGTAGATCAGGGTGACCTATAGGCATGCCCTTTGGAGATTGCCTTGGGAAGAGCCAGCCCATGTGGGCAGCAGCACCATTCCCAGACTTTAGATCCCAGGCTATGGAAGAGTAGTCAGAGACATTGAATGTAGTACCTAGCATGTATATGTTCGTTCTCTCTCTGATCTGTACTGTGGATGTAGCTAACACCTTTAAGTTCTGGTCACTCTGACTTCCCCACAATGATATATGGGAACCTGGGACTGTAAACCTGTAACAACCTGTTTGGGTCAGTCAGCAGGGTCTCCAGCGCAGGAGTGAGGATGCGTGCTTCCAATTCCCGCTGTCCTTCACTGTACCCCAACGTTGAGGCGCCACTTTGTAACCGCCTGTTCTGCTGCTCCGGTCTGCAGGTCAGGGCCTAGCAAGAGAGAGAGTGGGGACAGAGACGCGAAGAATGGAGACAAGACAGGGAGTCTGATCAAGTCTCGTTTATTGGAAGGAAATCCTGGGTATTTATACCCTTTACCACGTGCCTTGCCCTCGTGGACAAGCACAGCTGAAGGCACTACGTCATGTGCCTTGCAGCGTGGATATCACGTGCACCTAGCTAGCAGTGAGGAGACCACGTGCACCCAGCAGCACGTGCACCTAGCTAGCAGTGAGGAGACCACGTGCACTCAGCAGCGTGGATATCACGTGCGCCTTGCAGCTGGGGGCACTAAACAGCAAAACAAGATATGTGAGAAAAACAAGATGTTTATCAGAGTGTGCTCAGCTGTTTCGGGCTGTTGAAAACAAGTCTCTTGTCAGGGTCTATGGCCCGAGATGGCTGCAAAGATGATAGCTGCTTTCTGCTAGGAGTCGGCTCCCAACATAAACCAAATAAACTCTTTCTCTCTTCAAGTTGTTATGGCAGGGTGCTTTATTATAGCAAATAAAAAGGAAATGGGTACACTGCTTAAAAAGTTTTCACTATTGAAAAAGTAATGTATTTCTCTGGTTCTAAGATGATTAATTGGTATAAGAACTATTAATTTAGTACAAGTCTTTATTTGTAAAATGAAATGAAACATAAAAGTAAAATAAAAATTTTGTACCTACGTTACATTTTTAAGTGCTTCAAGAAAGCCTATCCGTGAAACTTCTACTACTCATATGTACTTTACAAAAAAAATTAGCAAGGTAAAATACATATTAATAATTTGTAAACTGGCATTGCTTTTTGAAAAGATGCACTTAGAAGCTTTTATTTTGAAGGAACTTTGAATATGGTTTTCCAGAAACTGCAAGTACTTCCGGGTAAAACTGAAATCCCATTTGTTATCTTCCCACTTCTGCAGTATAACTCCACCAAATTCATCTCCTTCAATGTCCGTTATATTCGGTAGCAATCTAAGTTTTTGTTTTAATAACAATCTTGATACAAAAAAATTTAGTGTTTACATTGAATATAAGATGCCTTCCGGGGCAGTGGTGGCGCACACCTTTAATCCCAGCACTTGGGAGGCAGAGACAGGCAGATTTCTGAGTTTGAGGCCAGCCTGGTCTACAGAGTGAGTTCCTGGACAGCCAGGGCTATACAGAGAAACCCTGTCTCGAAAAACAAAAACAAGCAAACAAACAAAAAAAAAATGCATTGCCACCATTTAGAAATTTAGACAATTGTCACCAATCTTTTCTATCTTGTCATTTTATAAAAAGCTCAATGATGAAGACATGCTCAAGTGCTCTATGGAGGAGTCTTGAGCCAAGTGTCTAGGAGTTAGTGGGAAGACGGAAGGGTTGAGGGAAGACTTCGTAGTGTCAAGGTCTCACTAAGGTAGCCTAA